TCTCTGTGTTTGACATGCAGCTGCCAGCCATGCTGGCTCAGCTCTCTGCCAGGTGACAGCTGTTTCTTCTCATCTAGCTACAGGTTTCTAAAGTGTTTGTTAGCTAAGGGTTTACCTGATTCCCCATGTGGGACCTAAATTTGGTTCTTAGCTCCCATATGAGCCCACAATTTGAGTCTATGGCAAGGTGCTGTCTGCTCCACCTGTTCAGGAAAAGAAATCCTAACACTGATTTACCTCAGCAGGAAGTGAGTGATATACAAGTCTTTTATAGTGAATGATCCACCCCTTTCTGTAGGGACAAAATCTTGAGGACCTTCACACTGTTCTTGTAGCAAGCAGGTGGTTTCTGAATTCTACCTGAGTCATTGGATTACAAGACCCTTCTTCCAGAAACTCGCTCTGCCCAAACCTTCTTCTCTGCACTCACTCAGTGTCAAGAGGGCTTTGGCTTATCACCTTTCTAGGACCGAGCCCTTCCTTAACTCTGCGGGTCTTTGCAGCTGCAGTGAAAGATTCTAAGGGCTCAGGATATCAATCCAGAGATTGACCACGTGGGCAATCAGGCTGTACACAACTGGAATGAGACTGCAGAACTGGAGGTGCCATTATTTGCACCACTCTGCCAGAGGCCAGGTGTTTACCATACTTCCTTTCACAGTATCTCAGTATACAAGATCTGCAAGCTGGTTACAGAAAGCTAAGTACATGCCCAGTAAGTGTTACACTATTATGGCCTCTGGGGCGGAAGCTGCTTTTGAGAGGATGGTTCTCCAATTGCTGTTCACCAAAAGGGGACTCACGAGCCCAGCCCCAGAGCACGTGGGCACTGCTTTGGAATTTATTGAGTGAAAGTAACTGGAGTTCAAAACATATTGGCCATATTCACATTGCTCCCCTGCCTGTTTCTCTGAGGCACAGACTCTTAAGTATTGCCCGCCTGGGATCTGGGGTTTGGGGGTGAGACAAGTGCTGCTGAGGGAAAAAGTATCTGGTCAAAGGTTCATGGGTGAGAGTACACGTGTGGACAGGCTCAGAGTATTTCAGTTACTGTTAACTTTCAGAACTATCATTTTGCTTGCTTTTTATGTAGAAAGCACAGTCTCTCTCTGTTAGAGATTTGTACTATAAAATATTACAGGTCAGCCCGACCCAACTTACTTTGCTGGTGAAATCTTTTCTCAACAGATGACTTGCCACCTTTATTTCATATGCCCAGTCACTGTGAAAACTATCTTTTTGTGGGTGGAAGTCAGTCCTAATAGACTTATCTTCTGAAGCTTGTGCAGCCTCAAGTTGACAAAGGGACATCTACTGGTTTCACGTAGTTGCGCATTTCTGGGGAGATATATTTTTTGCAGTTTAAATTTTTTTTTATTTACAATTGGCAGGGAAGTCTAGTTGGCCTGGTGGATTATCCTGATGATGAAGAGGAAGATGAAGAGGAGGAGACATCTCCAAGGAAAAGACCTCGTCTTGGTTCATAAAAACCTTGGAATAAACTTTTATTGTGGGGTCTCAAATGCTGCAACTGTTCAAAGAGCTAAAAAAAGTCTGAATCAGAAAGCTTTCTCCCTTGAATATATAAGATAATACAAGGAGTAGCAAAAGACACTCAGTATATCAGCTAGAAAGGTTTAGTTCTATAAACTCAAGGCTTCCAAGGAACTTAATCTCTTTCTAGTAAATAAGGAGTCTGCCATTCAGGCTGTCAAGAAAAAAAAAAAGGTGGGTTAGTATTCAGAACCTGGATGATGGCTTCTCAGTGAGGAAAGTCTCAGGTTTTGGGAGGGTCTGGGGAGGGGAAATAAGTATGGTAAACAATTTTTAATATTGCAGGGTTTTCCCCAGTGTGTAACAGCTAGGAAAAAATGTAAAGCTTCAACTTCAAACCCAGTAATCTTAATTTTGTAATGGTGCTGTCCGTTGTGTTTTAGCAATTGCCTCTTTTTAAAATATGAAGGGAAAATGAATTCTATTTGCAGAAAAATAAGTCCAGACTTTGGGACCATTAGTTGCAAATTCAACCATGCTTCTGCCCGTGCAAGTAGGGAGCACCCTGTATTATAGTGCATGTTGAGTTGTTGGGTTTTTCAGTTCATGATTTGAAGCGGAGAAAAAGGAAGCCGGATTCAAAGTGGACAGTTGTGTTAATCTGCTTGTTTTTGAAACTAGATATCCAGTGATATCTATGCCAAGGATCAGTAGCTCTCGAGCAAATACTGAGAAATGGCTAGCACTAATAAAGTAGTGCTGTAAACTACATGAGTACAGCCAGCACCTCATGTTACGGAAGATACTAAACTGAGTCACGTTCTGCTTTGTTGTAGTGAAGCTCTCTCTCTTCCTTGAGCAGCAAGTGTATTTTCACATTTGCGAGTTTAAATTGTATAACTGAGGTGGTAATAAGAAACACTAACCAGTTTTGAGTAGTGTTGAATTTAGTGGCATTTAACACCTGAGTCATTTTGGACCAAGATGGAATTATTACTAACAGTGCACCAGGCGATTTGAGGCAGAATCAACATGCAGCACCTGAATCTGGGTGTAAGATGAAAGCTGTTGTTTTTTTTTAAAGTAAGAAGCACATTCCATGTATGTAAGCAGATTGCAACAGAATAGGTCAATTGATGGAGGCAAACAATTTGAGGTTTTATTCTCAGAGCAGCAGTGAACTGTAAATATTTTAATGTTAGTGTGCCCATATATGATCTGAGATCATGAAGTGAGAAATTTCCCAAATTACAATTAATGTATCAGAGATGTTAAAATATGAAAACAGCTGGAAACCACCACATAGTTCACTCTTGTAATACGTGTTATGGGTCCATTTCTCCTGGAATAGTTTAAACTGAAGCAGTTCCCCTGTTTTGGAGATTTTTGTAGTTAATTTTAATTTTAGCTATTGTTTGGAAAAGATGGGCTGTCTGTGTAGATATGAAGTATAGTTTTTTCCATAAAACAGAAGTTTATTTTGTATTAAAAATACCACTGTACTTGTTTTACACCATTTGTATACATGTGGTGATATTAATGCTGAACTGTAAAATTCAGGAATTAAAATGTGACCCTGTAATTCCATAATTATTGCTTTTGTTTGGTTTGTTGTACATGGTAAATCAACTCCTAATTTTGAAAGGTGACCATTTTAGAGTATACTGTAATGAGACATGCAGTTTTTAAACAGTCAGTATATACCACTAGATCAACTACCAGACAGAATGCATGAGATCTGAGCGCCCAGAGGTTGGACACACAGCATTCTGATGGGTGACAGTTTAATGTGCGTGGACCTGGGGGAAATACATTGTTGCCCCTCGTGGGCTCCAGGCAACCAAGAATGGGGCTCCCCCTCCTATCCATCTGAATAAGAGACCTTAAAAGCTAAGGCGGCGACTAAGGAAATCAGTCCTTGGCTGCTTCAACCAAAATTGCAGTGTTGTAACCAGTTGCTCCCTTCCCTGATCTCCACTTCAGGGTTCTGGTTTTTGTGATGAGTCTCCCTTTCTCTCCCCCCTTAAAGATAACAGATTCCTATAAATCTATCCTTACCTTTTAATGAAGAAGCTCAAAAGTCATGTAGTTATGTGCCTTTCCCCTTCAGAGGCTCAAAACATCATCACCTGATCTGTAACCTTAGTTATCAGGTTTTGGTTTTTGTTTTTAAAAAGAAAGAAAGATTTTACCCCAAAATGTGCTTTCATTGTTTTTCTTCTAATTTTCTCTCTGAGAACTTGTCAGGAGCTTTAAGAGGATACATTCAGACCAGCTTTTGAGCTTTTTTCTACAGTATGTGAACGTCATGGATTTTTCTAGTTGCTCTAGAATAAAACTAAAGGAAAAGACATTTGATGTTATCTTAAGGCTTTGGATATTTTTATCAAACTTTTTAAAACCCTTTTTATGGGTGACACATTGTGTTCCCTCTGACTAGCTAATCTCCAGGATCACCTGCCTCAGGCAAACCAAGATTCTTCTCCCTGTGATATACCACATCCTGTATGGATTCTGCTATGGGACAGCCCACATTCTAATGCCTGGGGCCCCTCCACTGCAGATTTTTTTTAATATTACATCTGCCAACATGTATCAGTTATAAATGCTATTTTAATAAAAAGTTACATGAAATTTGGATCGGCTGGGTTGGTTTTTATTCACTTACTGCTCTAGATGAAAGCTTGCAGATACAGGTTTTGCGGGGGAAAGATGGGGGGCAGTTCTTTTCTTTTCCTCTGAGGTGACTAGTCGAAGCAGTGTTTATGGTGAATGAAATGGTAACATTGATGTCAAGATCTTGAATTCTGAGATGAGACCAAACACAGCAACATGTCAAACTGAATAGCTGATGTTTTCTGCACAAGAGTACGGGTTACTGAAAAAAGGCCAGGGAAACTTATAAATAAAGGAGCCTACGGTTAACATGGAAATTGCCTGCGTCTCCTGACTTCAAAGGTTTCAGTTGCATTTCCTGTGTCTTAAACATAAGATTATCAAGCAGTATTTCCTTGTTAGCTGATTAAACTTTATTTGACAACTGAACATAATTACTTGCTATAATGACAGATTCTAATAAAAGGAAAAAGTTCTGCATTTAGGAAGTTTTCAGATAATGTTCTCCATGTTGTAAACATTTCTAATACATTTTGAGACAGGGAAGTGCTTTATCTCTAGCTTTAACAAGTGTTTGAATGATTTAAAATCCATGGTTGTTCTACATATTATTAACAAGCGGCTATGGCCACAGCTTTCAAAAATGGTGCCTAAATTTTGGATCTTGAGTCCTTACTGAGGTCCTTACCTTCTGTTAGGGTTCAGCCTCCAGCAGATCCAGCTGATCTTTGTGAAACTGAGGTTTCAGAAATCTTGGCCTGCTTGGTAAATGAGTTTTAAATCCAGTTTCAATTGCATCATTGTTTTTATGTATATGAAGAAATGAGTTGCTCATGTTCTGTAAAATGCATATATAAAAATAATATATGTTTGAAAGCAAGCATGTTGAGTTGTTGGTTAAATAATTTATTCTAGATGAAATTCTGTTCTTTTCCTATGGCCTGAAATTCCTTGAACTACCGCTTATTAATAACTTCTTCTTTAAGTTTTGCTGCAAGCATTCTCCTCTTTAGCAGCAGTCTTTGCTTCTCCTCTTCTGACATTTCCTGAAAACAAAATTAAAATTCTGTTACAGTAAGTAACCTCAATGGCTTTGTGGAAAATGCTGAAAAAATACCCTTTAATAAAAGGAATCTTCCTTTGATGGTTCCAGTGTTAAGCATATAACACAAAACCACAAGTCAGTTCAGACAGTAAATAAGATTTTTTTTTCCCTACAGTTCAGAATTCAGCAATAAAAAATGAAAATAAAAAAATGCAATATGGGTGACCTCCCTCCCCAGACTTGAAATTTCTAACAATCTTGTAGGTATCCTACTAGCAGCTTTATTTCATAGTCAGACTTAGGCCAGGTACAAATATTACATTTTTACCAGTATGTGATCAGAAACCCATCAATACCAGTTTCAGAACAGAAGTTTGGCACACATCGACTGGTTTAAAAATGGCAAAACCTGGTCTAAGATTTGCCCCTTTCCCTCCTCTCCCCTTGTGCCCCTAAAGGGCAAATGTATACTGTTTGCCACCAATCTAAACTGTGGCACTTCCAGAAATCCATGTAACTTAAATTAATTCTGATTCAGGCTTTTTGAACGTCTGTACCTAGCCTTAGGCTGTTAGCAAGAAGAGGGAGCATCGTACATCCTTTGCATCCCCAAAGTGCCCTTTGTGCTCCCCAGCCAGAGGCCCCCAACTTGTTTCATATCCAACATTTGTACAGCAGCAAGGTGCATAAAGGTGAATTAAAAACAAAATGGAAATATTTATCTGCATGGAGCGCCACAGGTGGCGTGGGCATGCAAACTGATTTTATTACAGCACATTAAGGACGCGTGTCTACATGTGCATGTCCTTAATGTGCCCTAAAAATGGCAATTTTAGGTGTGAATAGCTAAAGTGCATTAATGTGTGTGTAGGCACATTAAGGCACGTTAATGCTGTGGATGGACTGACCTGGGACTAACTTTAGTCCCACATCAGCCCATGCACATGGTGTTAATGTGCTCTAACATGCACGTGTGTAGACAGCCTAAATCACCTTACTGCGTATTAAATTTAGACCTAAATGCACATGTAGATGCCCACAAAATCTTAAACCTGGAGCAGCTTCCAGGATTGAGTTCAATGCCCTGCACTTACAACCTACCACATCCTAGAACCCCTTTAAAAATGAGCAAGCTCCATCTTAAAGTAGGAAGACTATACTTGTGGGGGGGCAAGGTCACATGAAGAGATTTAACACTTCTAACGCAGTACTTCTGGCAAGTCATCTGGCACACTGCTCTTCTGTTTCAAAACAACAAGTCTATCTTCCCTCAAAGGGAAGATTATACCCTGTCTTGCACAGAGTACAGTAAACACTGTCACTACACATGTTCAGAGTGTGTTCTTCCTCTAAAGGTGCTGACCCCAGCTTCAGGAACCATCCCATTAGGGCTCATGCTTGTGCCCTGCCCCAGTCTCCACTTAACTTTGCCAAGTGCTGCAGGTTGCTGTAACTAATGCTGAGGGGTAAATTCAGCAGCAAGGGTAAAAAGGTAGGGCTGGAGCATCAGTGGGGGGCAAGGGGTGGAACGCAGCATGTGTTGGGACAAACAGCGCTTAGCAGGTGGAAGGACCCACAAAGCTAGGACATGGATTGTTGACCTCTGTACTGATGTACTTGGTACCAAACAAACAAACTGCACCTGTAATTGGTGCTGCCCATGCCATGTTATGTTTCCTGATCCCTTGAGCTCACTCTCCATATAAAGTATGACTTCTAGGTTTTCTGTGTTGCTTGGGAGAAGAGTCCTTTTTTTCCTGGACGTGTTGCTGCCTCCATCCTTCCACTGCCCTGATCCTTCTGGATGAGGACAACACAACTGTTGAAATTATTTAGTGACAGAGTGCCAAATCTGGTATCCTCTCCAATGGTCCCCAAGTACTTTGTTATAAGATTTTTACATTAAAGCTTACTCATGCTGTGTGCTTTGCTCTGTACTGAGCTGTTAGTGATTTTTTTTCTTCCCTGTTAATTAAGCTGGCTTTTAAGCCCAACAAGTTGTTGAATTAAAAATGTATTTTAACATCCACCTACTGCCTGATGAAAGTTATTGCTGTGTTTTCATACTACAGAACCTTTATTGCTTTGGTACAGTGAGGTGCACTTTATTACGCCAAGTCAATGCATTGTCTAGATTGTCACGGTAGTCTTCAATCTTGGCACAATATAACAGGATATCAGCTAAATCGTTCCTGACTTTCCAGTTAAAGTTTGCAGTACTTGATACTAGAAACATTGTTTTATAAAACAGCAAACTTCAAATGGAAATGACTGTATGAATGTCACAATGTTTTTATACAAACTTTTCTAACTATATTTGCATTTCAGTTAGGAGAGGATTTATTAAAACCTTATTCCATGGAATTTTTTTTAAAAAGAAAATACTGGGGGGAAGAGAGGATTTTTTTTTTTTTTTAAAGAAACTCTTCACTTTGGCTCTTATTCCAGTTGTGTGCTACCTCAAGAAACAAACTGGAACCTCTATCAACTTGGTCTTCCAGAATAACTGCTATTTCAGGTTAAGTCAGCATTGATTCACTTGCATCTCTGTTTTGCGCTCTCTTTTTTTTTTTTTCTTCCAGGTGCCTTGAAGGTTCTTTGAATTTTTCTAACAGTCCTTTAGTTAGTGCATTTTAAAGCCATCCCAGTGTAATTTAACTACTTTTACATCCAGTTCTTCCTCAAAGTCTTGCTTTAAATGAGCATTTTGCTCACTGCAGGTTAAGGTGACTCTGCCAGTGCCATCATACTTGGCGTGGCTCCTACATGTTATTGTGAGAGGATGTAATTAACAGCTTTCTTATTGCAACATCTTTTCTGGAGAAGTAGAAGAGAAGCTACTATTGTATGCATGTGTGCCAATAACCCTGATGTCAGCTAGACATTTCTTGCTGGGGTTTTCGCCCGAGAAGGGACATTGCTCATTTCAATTTTAAAACAAGAAAGTCTCAAATGTAATCAAAGCAAAAATGGATCTTAACAGACCATGAGCCTCAAAATGAGAGAGAGAAGGGATTTTTATGTAAATCACCATTTAGGCCACAACATGTAAATTTCCTGCATTTCTAGCTATGTCATATCAATTTTAAAAAAATACCCTTTGACTGAAAGAGGAGTCAGTCCTCAATATATTTCCACACATTTTTTTTCTGCTTTTCACTTCAAAACTAATTGTACCAATTGTTTGTATGACAAACTGATATAAAGCAAACCAGAAAGATCAAACCAAGAAGTAGGCTGGCAAGTTTATCTAACTTTTTTCTCTTCTGGATTTAGGGCCTGAACCTGGCACCTGATTCTTGTATCTCTTGTAATCTCCAATTTTTTGTTCCAGTAGGAAAAGTTTCAGCACAAAGCTGGGAAGTAAAACAGTCATCTTTTGCTGGACTTACAGCTGCATGAAATACGTAGCACAGCAAACAGTGCTTCTATCCTACATTAAAAGCAGCTTATGTATTCTTTGACTATTCAAACACCAGTGCAAAGGAAGCATTTCTGAATTTCCCTGTCTTGTTCATTTGGACTTCACTTTTCTTTCCCTTGTTTTAGAGCAGAATCTGTAGCTGGATTTAATAAGACACGGGCTGTTTGAGTTGTGATGTTGGGTAGCATAAATTTCATCAAGTGAGATTGTTCTGCTTTTTGGAGAGACAAAGATTTTTAGGGTGAAAATCTTTTCTTGGGCCACCTGCATAGCTGAGATAGTTAGATAAGCTTTTGAATCCAAGACATTAAAGATATCGCTCTGAGAAATCCTTGCCTCCTGCATAATTCCTGGGCCACCACAGTCATGACATCGCTAGACCACTGCTTTTGGAGTAATGTAAACAACTGTCTCCTGCATCCTCAACTGGAATGATTTTCTGATTTCAGGCAGAAGGCAGGGTTGATTTGTACCTTACACACTACCAGAATCAGAGATGTATAGCATAAGCTTTTATAAGCAACAGGCTGGCTTTGTCGGATGTTGTGAAGAGATTGCAGGAAGCAGAGCTAACTAGAAAGTGGTGATTAGAATAAAAATGGCAGGGAAAGGAGGAGGAAAAAGAAGGGGGCATTGCTGAGAGACTCAACTTTGCGCTACTAAATAACCGAAGCGTGTATGCATGTAAGGGGAGACAGCTTTTCTGACAAAATGATCTTTTTATGACTCACAGTAGTCTTTTTTAAAAAAAATGCATTGATTGTACCACAAATAGAAGACTGAGTTTTCTAGGCCAATGTTTTGGCTATGACCAACAAAGTGAAGCTACAATGGTAAGTGGAGTGTGATATGGTCCTATGCATTCTCCACCGCGAGTGCACATGCACCCTGTGAACTCAAACCTGGAGACCTGCCTTGGTAGTAGTATCTTAACAATACCCATCTAGCGTGCATTCACCTTGCTCCTCCTTATGCTTTGCACTGTAAGATACATTGCACAGTCCTGTTGGTCAGGTTTCCTCTCAACATCAGAATCTCAGGATGTGAAGGTCACCCAGGAAGAAGAGAGAGATGCCACCAAATATGCCTATGGACTACACTTCTCCAATCACTATGGGAAATAAATTTCTCCTTTTGAGTGCTTAGCCACATGCACATCCCACTGTGGATAACTCATGAGTGAATAGCAACTGCAGGACCATTTTCCCCAATGTGGCACAGTATTTGGAGCTTCAGTGACTGCACTGTTTGTTGAAGGCATGAATACTGCTTGTGGTGGCTGCCTTCAAGTGTCTGGAGAGACATTTTGAAAGGATGTCATGTATGTGTTAGCTCTGGTGGAGTATGCCTCTGACTGCTACTGGAGGCTCCACTTTCAGAACCCATGAAGGCAAAGGAACAGTATCTAGACCTTTCCTTGAATTTGCCTATTGGGAATTGCCTGCCACCATTCTTGAGTCAAGAATTGCATGGACCAATACCTCTCCCCAGAAGGAGCCTGTACTTGCAATGGGATGGAGAAAGACTGTGGAAGATACAGCCATGATAAGCACTGGTGCATGTTTCAAATCCTGGTCCTTACTGAAGTCAAGCAAGGAGACAGAAGATAAATGGCCAAGAGGTTGCATAGATGGTGGAAACAACTGTGCAGGTAAAGTGTCAGTGGCAAGCCACGGATGATAGCAGTGAGAAATTTGGCTCCTGCAGAACAATGAGGTCTCCCACTGAAGAAAGGAAGTACAACTTAAGGACAGAGTGGTCACTGAGTTGCACAGCTTCTGGGTAGGCTGAAAACACCAGCGCCTGTAGTCTTAGTGAATGAGGAAGCCCACTGTCATACTGCATCCTCAGTGCTGGTGTTGAAAAAGCTAATGTTGAGAGTTCCCTCTACTGGTCCTTGTGATTCCATAACACTACCAGGGAGCACTATGCCCTGGCATTAAGGCACATCCAAGTTTGTTGGTGTTGCATTGCTGCCAAAGAGTCTAAGAAGTTAAACAGCAAGGAAGAGATGAGGAACACTTTTTCAGGAACCTCAACTGTAAATATTTTCCTCAACTCCTTCCATTGCCCTCCTCCCAACTTTAGACTTCAATAACAACAAAAATGTGAAGGAGTGCAGGCTCCCTCCCTAGTATTTATGCCTTCTTGGATCTTTCACCTCCTGTTCTAAGGCTGGGCCCAGATATCAACCAAGCAGGTTACACTTAAGAACCCAGCCTCACAAACTTCTCCGGCTTGGGAAATGAAGGACTTGCAAATGGCACACTTCCCTGGAACGTGGGACTCTTTCAGAAAGCCAAGACACAAGTGCAGTCTGCTGCTGGCCAACATAGTCCTGTCACAAATAGGTGTAGATTTTTTAAGCCTGGAGACCTGGAAGAAACAATGCTTAAACAAAGGGAGTGAGGTTCTAGTTGATCTCAGATGAAGGCCTTGCTAGGCTAGGGGAAGCCACGTGATGAAAGCCAAACAAATTCTCTCATTGCTTGTTGACAAGAATAAAAAGTCTAGGAAACAAGGAAAACAAAGAAACTGCTAATTGTGAGCAAATTGCGAGTGGAGAGTACATGGCTGTACAGTCAAAAACTGCAGTGTACAAGGATCAAACACTGTCCTAAGATGCTTAGGAAGAACTAAAAAGTAAGAAGAGCTAATTCCCCTTTATGCCCTCTATACAAAAGCATGAGGAAGAGCAAGGTGGACACACTGTAGGGGTACTGCTATGGTAAAAAAAAACCCTTATATAAAGTATATATGCAGCCACAGTAAAATGTGCATGCAAACAAGCACTTGATAGCAAACAGTTGCTTCAATGAAAACCATAAAACACCTATGTGTTTAGCAGGGCTTTTTTCCTGCCAGCAGCTAATATAAACAACTGATAACTTGTTAGAGAGTATACAATCTGTACTTTTTACTTTACACACTTAAGTCATTTTTACAAACCTCATAGAAAACTCTGCTGAAGAATGCTTTATGGTTCAGGTGCCCAAGGCTATAATTTTGCTCAATTTAAGATCTCTTATCCAGAAATAACAGATTCCATTCTTCCTCTGCTTGAACAGACAGCAAAAAGAAGACCTACAAGCACTGGCATTTTCATTTCTCCTACCAGACTTCCAGTACTCACTAAGTATTGTCATCTGCATTTTCAGCTTAAAAAAAGGAAACATTCCTTTCTTTGGCTGTGATGCTGCTATTCACAGGCAGCATAGTCTACTTGCATTATGCCAAACAGGTTCTTTAAATTTATTCTTGCCTCTACCACAGAATGACAGACTACAGCAATGAACTTTTAGGCCATCCCTCAATGATAGCTAAAGACAGGAAATGGAGGTGCCTTTAAGAATAGGCTATTGTGCTAGTTTTAAAGAGATGCTGTTAGCTTTCCCATTATTCCATTCCTCTCACAGAAAAACTGCTTCCAGTATATCCATCCTTCAGACTGCCTGACCCTTCTACAGACTTAATATTGCAAACTCCACAACACTAACTGAGTCTATAGGCAACTTCCTCACTTATCATATACCCAACACATTTTACTAAGTTTCAAAGAAAAAGAACTAACCCTACTCAAATTTTCCGTAAAATAAGATCATACATTCTGGAAAAAAATCCAACTCACATCAATGACCACTAAAATTGTTCTGCATATGATAGCAAAAAAATGGACTAATATTTGAGGGAACTAGTAAGAAAAGTCACATTTCGCTAGCAGGTTAGGCCAAGTTGTCAATTAGTGAAATAATTGAACAATATTAGCTGCATGAACTCTGAACTTGAATTCATTATGACAATGTACTATTGTGGGAAAATATATTTAATTTTCATTTAATCACTAAGCTTTCCTTTCCTTCTCATGATTAGTTTGTTGTTAATTGTGCACAGATGTTTTGCCGCTATTTCTACAACTCCTTGCTTGTTCTTTTGTCCTGTTTCAGTACTGAGCTGCAATATCCATGTTTTCACTGAAGTGCTCTGTGACAAGGCTAGCCATGCTGATTTAAAACGTTTACACCCTTCACCTCTTTAGGAGATAATGCCTCTTCTTTCTGATCTGTATTTGATGGTGACTGTACATTACTTCTTGACTCCTTCTTCATAGCCATCAGTACATCTCTCTTCTGCTTCAGGTAATCTTCTCGTTGTTTGAGCTCATGTACTCCAAGCTCTGATAAATTCTGGAATTATTTAAAAGGTGAATTTACTTGAAAACTGATTTCAGAGTGTGCACACACTCATGTATTTGTTAATGAAGGGACATGGAATTTAGCTAATGCTTACCTTGATATTTGACCCTAGAAATACTGAATGAATGAATGAATAAGAGTTCAAGAATGAATGAATGAATGAGAATTAAAGTGCCACAGTCATCCAAATTACACCATACATGCAGATGTTAAGAAACTCTTAGAAGGGCAAACTCCAAAAACTGAATTCTGTTCCAAGGCTGAGATTTCTAGGTCCAGTTTCTACTGAATTGTAGCTGTCTGAAAATTAGATCACTGAACTTACTGCAAAATTAGTTATATACAGAAAATTTCTGCAAAAAACTTCTTGCTTCTGACAAAAGAAATTATACTGGTTATATAATACTGTTTATTATATAATAGCATTATACTGCTGTTTGAAATCTTGCCCAAACTTTAAGTGGAGTAATCATTTTACTTACAAGTCCTTCAGTCCCAGCTTCTCCTGTTAAATTTTCTGAACAATTTCCAGTTGCCTTTTGCTTAGTCTCTTCTTTCACTTTGGTTGTGGCAAGCTCTGGAGGGCGTTCTGGCTCTCTTATGGGACACTGCACTGGCCTTAATTTTTCCCTAGCGGATTTCTGTGTTTCTTCTAGACAACAATTTGGCATAAAAACAAATAAGAAACACTGTAGATGTAGATATATCAAATTAACAGATGTTGGATAAATTAATATTCCCCCAACATTGGAAACTCCATTCAATTAGAAGTAAACTTCTCACGGAAACAGGAAATAGTAGAATAATCTCTTTGGAATAATCTTTTTTTGAGAGGGCAAGCACCAGAAAAAAAATACTTCATATAAATATGTTGGTACTGTGAGATCAACTTGTTCTCCAGAGTCAGGTTCCTGACTCTGGCGGCACCCAGGCCTCCAAAAAAGATCCCAAACAGTGTTTGTTTTGAGGACAGTAGGAAAAGCGTGGGAAGCATGCTTCAAACAAGGTAAGGCTGTCTAGATCTCCCACCATCTCAGACACTTTCTTCAACAGAAAGCTAATGGCTATACTGAAAATAAAACATGCGGAGAAGTTAGGTCTACCTCAACAAACTTGCCTACCCCTATGCACTGATTACTTCAGTAAATGGTGGCAATTAGGTATCTGCATCCAGAAAGTCTTACAATCCTGATCAGATCTATCAGAGGATTAAAAAAATACATGACCAGACATCCCATGGAGAGCGCCAAAATATTATAAACTCTGAACTTCATCACACTCACAATTCTTCTGGCAAAAGCTTTGTCTGTTAAATTGTCCATAGACAGCCTAAGCAGCCAAAACTCCAGAGAGAAATGTCAACAGGTGTGTTCCTGGTTCACGGCATGGCTACTTTTTTAAATTACTGTACATCCATTGAGACTTCTGAAGATCCCCTGACGCTGTATCATAAAATATATAATGTCATGGGTAACCTGACCTTATATATACTCCAAACAATTGTCTTTGAGGTATAAGGTGAGAACTGAATTTTTTTTCCCCCAGAACTCAAGGATCCATCTACAACTCTACTAAATCTAAAATCATGCCCTTAATCAACTATTTCTCTAGCAATGGAAAAACATGCATTTTCCCAACCTATATAAACATCCACTATAACAACCAAAAATTGTATAGATACACACTATACCTTCAACAGCCAAGATGGATCACTATGAATTAACAGTGCTGTTTCCCTTGTAAGAGCATACTTTCTTTTGTATTTGTGCTTCTCCTTTTCTTTAGTTCAGTCTAAATAAATTTTACACACAAAACAATATTAAGAGAATGTTAAGGTGGCAAAGTCAAGCACTCAGATTTTGGAAATGCCAAAACTAACATTGCCTGTGTAACCTTAATAAGTCCCCTTGTGTGATGACATCGATACAGTCTTCAGTTAAATGACTGTCTACTTATTGTTTTCCATTGCATATCTCCTAGGAGACAAAGAGAGGCTTTAGTGTTCCTGAGTTTTCATTACATTGCAAGGCCCTTGAGCATCCTGTTGATCACAACATATTTACAACCATTTGTGTATGCAGTCATCTATCCCAATGGCAGCTACTCTTATTACTGTTGCAACATAAATCTCACCAATGGACTGATTTTCAAAAATAGTGTTTCTTTTTGGAAGAGACTCCTTTCCCTCTTTAAGAAATACCTTCCTCTACTAACTGGTACATACTAATAAATACTAGTTGTACTAACTGTATAGGACAAGCAGTGAAGATTGGTAAATTGTCAGCTTAATGGTAGAATAATAGACAAGTGATGTCAAAAACATGCACCCTACCAATCCTCTCTTCTCTATATGCACAAATGGTATGTTGACAAGACAGTTTCAACTAGCCCTGTAAGGTGTACCAATCAAAATGTAAGGCCTGATCCACACTATGACTGACAGTTACAGAAGCCTATTAATTGAAGAATATGGACTCATCAAATATGAGAACAGATGTTTTGTAAGATTTCATTAATTGTTATCTTTGCATAGCGACCAATCAAATATGTCACATTTCCTTCTATTGTTGCAAAATGAATTACTACGCTAAATCAGAGCCAATCCAGGTGTCTGTGAAGAGACTAAAATCAAATTACGCAGTTCTGTCGACAGCTAGAAGTACAGATGAAAAAGCACAAAGTGCAAGGTTGAACCAAAGATCACAGCACGAACGGGCCTGCAGAATATAACTTGCAGAAGTAGGTTGATGGCTGGAGCTAAGAGTAGATGATTAACATATGGCTCAACACGTCTTCACAAACAAAAGATGTTTTCAATAATGGAACGGTCCACACAAAACTACAAGAAATCATCAGTGAAGTGCCTCATTTTCTCACTAGATGATGAAATGCAATAACGCTTGTATCATGGCTGGACATTTCAAATCACTGTCAGAAGCATGGGTCTTTCTCTAATTGGCTGGCATCAATTTTGCCAAGAACCACCAGGTCATACCATCCAGCAGAAAATTTATTAAATGCCACTTGTTGTTCAATGCTTTGTTCCCTGAAACTGAAACATGTACAAGAGAGACCTGGCCAGCTGAAGACCCCTGAACAATAAGAACTAAAGTTCTATTATAGAAAAGAAACTTATTAAAATCCCACCTAGGGAGACCACTGAGAAATGGAGAAAGAGAATACGAACACAGCTGTCAAAATACCTTGAGTGAATCATCTGAATATCTATTTAGAAAAACAAATCACTAACTGTGAAACTGGGCACCCACCTTCGTTCCAGTTCCAACTAATACATAAAAAATTACTTCTATATGTGTATTAACCAAATGATGAATTAGTTGCACTAAACTAAATGCTTCTCATAAAATAGGTACCTTAGTTAAAACCCTCTGAATAAAATGTATGATGATACTTCTATTTAACTAATAAGATTACTCTTACTTATGGATTTAGTGTAACTTCTAGATAACTAATTAAGTGGGAGACACTCATTACACTAAGTTTAATACTATATATTACAGAAAACTGTATTTCCTTATTGTGAAAGATACTGTGAGGAAAAACCCTCAGCATTTCAAAGACTTCAAAAGTTACTACAAGTAAGAAAACTAACCTGAAAAAGTTCTGAATTGGCTTGGAAGCAAGATTTTACCACTGTGTAAACCTTTAAAGTGGAATGAAAACCAACAACAGTAACATTTTTGAGAAGTTAAAATAGTTTCAAAATAATTACATATGAATTATGTTTTGGGATGAAATGTATAAAAGTCTTCAATAGGCACACATGCCAAAACTAGGCTGGGGTGTATCTACACATACTATTAATGCAAATTAATTAAACCCCAGCGCAGTTCATATCAGACTATATTGCTGCTGGGCACTGCATTTACATGCATCTGGGACTACAACATGTGGAGCCAGGGGTCAGCCCCCCATCTCAATGTGCTGCAGAGGGGCTGGCTGGGACACAGGAGTGCTCCAATGTGGGGCTAGCTGGCAGGCAGCCCCTGCACTGAAGCACCCTTGTGCCCCAGCCAGCCTCATCAGCATCTACAAGTGCACTGTGGCACACTAAGTGCTGCTGGAGGATAGTACTTGTGTTTACAAGTACTAACCTACAGTGGAGTTAGTTTCCTGCAGCCTGACAGGGCCACATGCGTAGACACTGAGACTTTACTTTGGAGCTAATTAAGTAGCCTGTATAAATTCCTAAATTCTGTTATGGAATTGTTTGGTTGAACTGAGCAGTCCCATACCTTCATGGGCATATAACCTTAATTAGAGAGAAAACCTATATTTAAGCATCCATAGTTCCATACTAATGGCAAAATCACATGCTCAAGAGACGTGCATAACTAGGATACAAGTTTGTATTTATAAGTAGATCGTGGTATATTAGCTGAACTAATTTCTCTCTTAAACTAACATCCTATACCAAGTTCAATGTTTTGAACTGTGAAGATTAAAATATTGATCTATATTTTGATATCTTTAACTTCTTCTTTATTTCAAAAGGTATTTTTGTTAATACAGTATAACTTCATAAATTTGGCATCCTTGGGATCTAGCACCTGCTGGAAATTTGAAAATTCTGGATTTTTGAAGCCAGGAAAGTATATAGCCTGGTGCTACCTGGCTAGCCAGAAGCAGGGCAGGGGGAAGTTTGCACACAGTGGCTGTCGCCACCAACCACCACCCCATGCTGCCACTCCATGTATGGCTGCCACTACTCCCTCCCCCTGCCCTCATTCTGTGACTGGCTGCCAGGGGTACACTGGTCAAAAAATGTTGAAAACCCGTGATGTAGTATATTTTTAAGAAGTGCTGATTTTTTTGAGAATTCCAGAATTTTGAAAACTGCATTTATAACGTTATACTGTAGAATTCCTAGCAGTTAATTTCCAGCCTGTACTTTAAGAACACTGAACCAAAGAACAGTGAGAAACATAACAGTTAATTGGTTAATTATTAAACCAGTGTTGTTACCTCTCAGCTCTATGTTCTTGGGAACACTGGCACAGTACACAGCCTGTCTGACTCACAAAGAACTCTCCCCCGCCAGCCTGAACAAGAACTGATTTAGAGGAAGGACTTACAAAAGACAAGGAAGATGCCGTGGGAGACGCACTTAAACCCCTCCAGACAAAGTTGATAGGAGTGAAGCAACTCCCCTGGCCTCATTTGCATCAGAGGTGGAACGGGATGACAACTCATTTAAATGGGAGATGGGACAAGCATGCATCTTCATTAGCATTCAGTATGGAGAACAGAGATTCCAAAGGCAAGGACCACACTGAATTCTGGGATCAGAAAAGCAGGGGAGCACTGCATGATGGGCAATCCTTGCTCCAAATGCTAATCAACCCACATCTATACACACCCAGCTCAGCATTTATCAGACCAATTCTAGTAATGACTCCTCTATTGGTATCCAAAACACTGAATCTGCCTGTCTGTATTGTGAGATCCATCAGAGTAATGTCACCCATAGCCAGGAGTGATCAGTTCCTATTATCCAACATCTGAGCTATTGTTTATCCCTAAACAAACCTAATGTTCTCTACAAAACCCCTACCCAAGCTCAAGTTTCTGTCCTGGTGCTTGGATCCAAAGCTGCACCAGTTCTACTCCTTTTCTGCCTGGAATCCCTCCACTGATCGTGCTGAGGACTCTGCCTGTCCGCAAGCTCCAACAACACCTGGGAACCTCGACCAGTTCAAGCTTCGCTGAGTGGTGAGATCCCAACTCTCTCTCTATCTCTCTCTCTCTCTGACTCCAGGAACCTGACTTTTATTCTCTTATTCCAGGCAAAGCTTTCTAAACCTGACTTTTGCTTTCTCACTCCAGGAACAGCTTTCTAGACTGGACTTTTGCTGATCACTGTCTCTCCCTCTCTCTCTCTCTGCCTCTAGGAACCTGACTTTTATTCTCTTACTCCAGGCACAGCTTTCTAAACCTGACTTATGCTAATCAAACTCAAGCTAGACTTCCCCAAAAACCTAATTGAAACTATGTAATATTCTAATTGTTTATTTGTCTCTCTCTTGTATGGCTATTATTACTGGTATCATTGTAAGTTCATATACCTGGCAATAAATAACTTCTATTGTCAAGCTGGCTGCTATACTTTCTCACTGAACCTCACCTACTCTTTCTTCACCTTGACCTCCCCATTTGCTCTGCAGCAATGCTTCTTTTACCTAAGCCAAAGAGCCCTGTAATGCCCAAAACCACAGTGGGGTCTGCTCATCAAGGGGGTTACTATTAGGACCATTGTGACGAGATTGACATGCTGATTTTTGAGGCGCATGAGGGTATCAGCTGAAAGTGCTGATTGGACCCAGCCTGCTCAGATATACTCTGCTAGCATGTGTCTAACTGCATTTATTATTGTCCTACTGAAATAAGGGATGAACTGAGTTCAAGGCACATGAGGGTGTCAGCCTATCAATGCTGAATAGTCCGGCCTGACTTAGATGTGCTGTGTTAACCTGTGTGCTTGTGTCTAACTGCATTTTATTGTTGCCCTGATGAACTAAGTTCAAGACATATGAGGGTGTTAGCCTGTCAATGCTACATAACCTGGCCTGGGTCAGGCATGTCCTGTTGATCTGTGTGTGTATGTGTGTACATGTGTTTGATTCAGGGGTTGGAGGAACCCAGCCCCATTGAACTGAGTCCTGCAAGATAGCTCCAGTGGGGGTGACAACTTGCAGAAGGAAGAGATACAGCTCCATATAGAAACACAAGTAACACAAGCAGCACATTGATAGAATTACAGAGACCCCCAGCAACATACCCCTAATAAATGAGCACACCCCAAAGTGATGGGCAAATCTGGTAACAATGTGTTTTTTACAACTATCTTTCTCACAATTTCACTCATTTCTTCTTTCACCCTCTTCATCCCCAGTAAACATAGGCAAAAGACTGTCAGACTTCCTTTTCCCTATAATAAATAGATATGAGCAGGCTATTTAGATTAAAGCGCATACTACATAGTCTGAAAATACTTTTCAGCAACATTACCTAATGATAATTTTGCAATTTCTTCAAAGTCATCGACTCTCTCAACATTTTCAAGGGATTCCTTAACTTTTGCAGCTTCACTTGAATATCCTGGACGGTTGTATGTAACATCTGCTGACTTCAATTTATCATGTTCCTTGGACTTGGAGGAGGAAAAAAAAGTCTGTTATATTTTCTAGTAATGTACTTCAGGCAATATGAACTGTCAATTCATCAGCTATGATTATTAATGCTGCCAATCCCATCTACTATACTGTGCAGGTAAAAAAAAAAAAAGAAAAGAAAAGAAAAGAAAATGACCCATTCACTACTAACAGGAAGCATACTTTTGGCTCAGCTCCATCAACTAACATTTTTTATTTTGTCCATGACTCCCCTACTAGCCAAGAACCACTGAATTTTACAATATTGGCTACGTTCATGCATGCCTCTCCACCATAAACAACAATTTGCAACTATACTTTATGGGTGACCCTTCAAACACATTTCTGCTGTTCTCCAACCAGTCCACCAAAAAAAGTATGTTCCTTTTTTGAGGCAATGAGAATGAATATGGAATGTGTGTAGGTAAGACTCATGGAGCCATCCCACAGCAACAAATAAGAGCCAAGGGAGCGGACATTTTTTTACTGGATGAGTAACCAACCTCTCCCCAAACCTAAGATGCTAGGGCTGCGGTTTCCCTCTTCAAACACTAGAGGCAGTCCTCACAAGTCCAAAACTGTCTCCTGCCCTGATGCCCTCATGCTAGAAATTAACTTTCAAAGCTATGCTGAAATGTTAAATTCTTAGACAAGTAACTCTTAACAGAAATTTAAGGCGTGTCTACACATGTGCTTTAATGCAGTGTTTCTCAACTCATGAGTCATGACCCAAAAGTGGGTCGCAAGGATATATGAAAGGGTTGTGAGCAAACTTTATAAATGGATCAACAATCTTTAAAAATGGATTCTCCTATAATGTAGGGAAAGGTGGGAAACCGCGGCTTTTCCCTTGCAGGCCGGCTGAGTTCTAGCCTACCAGGGGCTGCTTGGGGCCCCCCCATGCTTCCCCCCCCACATACACACCCCTTGCCATGCACACTGCAGGGCTGGGGGCAGGGGGTCGAGAGCGAGAGGCACTAGGTCGAGACTGGCCATCAATGTTTACAAATCGGTCCTGGTACAAAAAAGGTTGAGAATCACTGCTTTAATGTGCAGTAGCCTATTCTACATGTCAAAAACAGTGCTAATATGCTAATGCATAGTAAAATGAGTTTACTGCGCATTAAGCAGCATTAAAAAGGTATTCACTTTTGCTACTGCGCATTAGGGCAGCCTAATGCACCTTTATGTAGTGCCTCATATTAGAGGTATCAAACTTAATCTGCAGTAGCAAAAGTGCATTAATGAGTATGTAGATGAGCTCTACAACTACTATAATTTTATGGAGACTGCATAAAGGTGTGTGCGTGTGTGTGTCTATATATAGTCTCTATACACACACCAAGACAATAAAAGATAGTTGTATATATTTTATATACATATATATATGCTCTATAAAAGTATATGTATACACACAGATCTAATAAAAGACTCTTGTATAGACAGCTGGAGAGTACATCTGAAGTGGGGCAGACCAAAGTAGTAACCAAACACAAAAACAAAATCATAAGGTAACAGATTTTCAATTCTAGATCCTGACCTCTAAGCCCCAGTTTCAGACATCTGAGATGTAACTAGGAAGATCAATTGGGAAGAAGAGACATGAAATACAAGGAGTTTCTTCCTTCCCAAAAAGTAGTAATTATTATGTTTTAGAAGTAATTTCCTGCCAAATGCTGCTGCTGCTAGAGACTGAGGGTAAATTTCTTCAAGGGATGATAGGAAGGTGTTGATGGATGCCCAAAAATCCCGTTTTTAGATTTCTTGCATGACTATTCAGGTTCCTTTCTGATCAGGTAGAAGTGAAGGACTGCATTAAGGGGATCTATATTCTTTATGAAACCAGCTTATCTATAGATGCACATCTGATGATGAGGCAATGTGACTTTAGCTAATTAAGAGAGATTTAAATGCCTTTAGGTCAAGGCATCTAGGCACGGGAGGAAGGTATAGTAGGGGGTTCCCAACTCCTGTTACTTTAAAAGTGGGAAAGCAGCATTATAGGGCTACAGTCCACTACAGGCTGCTTAGCTAGTGCCAGCTGCAAGAAAGTAAGCAGCCCAGGGAAGACAGAGACATGAGCTATAAAACTGCAAGTAGCTACTTGGGAGCAAGCTGCCCTGCACTAACCTACAAAGTGCAGGGCTCCAGATAAGTAGTAGACACTACCAACCAGCTGGGTAGGCTATAGCAGATGGGAGCAGGCTTCTTAGTGGGCAAAGAGGAAACTCCTGTGCCTGGTTTTGGGAGTCAGTGATCAGATGACCACAAAGGGTGCAGCCCAGGGAATATAAACCCAGCTCCTGAGCTACAAGAGTCAGTCTGGTTTTATACTCTGCAGGGTGAGGAGGAAGACTGCTAGAGGGAGATCTATAGACAGTAAGAAGTACCCTGGCGAGCTGGAAGGATATGACTAGAAGTGGGGTAGGAGTTGCTAGGGTGGCAAGACCTAGAGTGAGGTTTAAGTTCAGAACATTTTGTTGACTGTGTTAGCTGTGGGGCATGGGTGTGGCTGAAGAGGAAGCAGGAGGCCATGGTGGTATGCTGAAAGACATTCTGTGCTTGGAGTAACCACATAGAACCTAGTCAAAACCACTGGCTGGGGGGGGAAGAGGTGCCCTAAAAGGGCTGGTGAGGACAGGTCACAGTGGGTGCCAGGGAGGCACCATACATTTGTGTGTGTGGGCCTAGAGCTTAGTGGATCTATGTAGGCCCAAGCGTCTTGTGGATAATACCCTCCACAGAGCTACTGTGTGGTTAAAGGGGGACAAGACTGGAGAGCACAGATGGGCCTGACAGCACAACTCCCACTGTCCTGAAAAGCATGGGATGGGGAATGAAAGAGGAAGCAGCACCAGACCCCAAGAGGAGGGCCCACGAAGGGTCAATAGAGCTGCTTACCTTGGGGTGAGAGTCCCAGCAGCATTGGGGGAGTGGCATCTGGAGCCCAAACAGCCACCAACATGCTATAAGAGTGTGTGCTGGGTGCAGGTCAGCAGGCATCCAAAGCCAGCAGCCAGCACACCAAGAAAGACTGGCACCAGGAGGAAAGCCAGAATGATGAAGAGAACAGGCACACTGGGGAAGACCGGCATCTGGAGAAAAGCAGGCAAGCCAGGGGAAGCAGGTACACTAGGGAAAGCCTGCATGCCAGGAAAAGCCAGCAACATAGTGAGTGCTGGCACGCCGAGGAGGGCCACCAAATTGGAACTAGTTGGTTTGGAGGAAAAGGTCAGGTAGACATAGGAAGCCAGTCCCAGAGAGCAGGCAAAAGAAAAACATTGTAAGTCTAGACAATCAGAGGAATGTCCAGTAAGATGGGCACTGGAGCAAGACCCTAGAAGGAGGAGCACAAGGGAGGGATTCCAGAATACAAAGAGAGTGTCCTCCAGAAGAGACCAACTAACTGTGAGTTTGTCTACATTACAGTTTGTTATAAATTTGTTATATTGTTAGAGACTGGACTGATCATTTATAATTTTGATCCTGAATCTCTAGAAAGGGACTTTTTGTTCATTTTGAAGACTTCCATCTTGTTTGCCTCAGAAACAGCTGACTGGTACGAGGATGGGGCATTAGGGGAGGTAGGAGCACCGGGAAGACAACCACTAGTTTTGCCTGAGCATTTTAGACCCATGGGGGGCCTTCTGCTCAAAACAAGTTAAACCAAAGTCATGGCAGGCAAGAATGGAAAGACAACACACAGGCACAGACACTGAAAATCTTTATCGGTTCTTAGTAAGGCCCCAAGCAGCTGGGAGGAATATTATGGCACACACTATCATACAGCATAGATTGTGCGTCATATACAATGGGGCTAGATAGACTCCCTGTATTTTGGGGTTTTGAGTTTAATGCCTGGTGTAATTACCCAAAGTAGGACCAAAGGGGAGCCTGGTGGAATGTGGTAGGACCAGGGAGTTAACAGAGTTGTGCGGTTAAGGCCCAGTGGTGGGATAGGGCCAGGTGCCTGGTAGTACAAGAGACAGAGAGAGTAATCTGGCTGAGGCCAACAGGAAAAAAATGCAATGACTTGCTCAAGGTAGGGCCAAACCAAGGCAGCCCAGTGATGAGCAGGGCAGAGTGAAGCACCCAAGGCTCATTCTGGTACTCTAAGGTCAGCTTCCCAAACTTATACTTATTATAATAAAGGTAGGGCAGGGAAAAGACATGGCAGTTGCTGGAGAGACGAGTGGATTGGGGGCAGAATTAATGTGGCTGGCCACAGCCATTCCTGGGGGTGGGGTCTGGAACAAGAGGAGAGAAGGATTTCATGAAACAGTTGTATCAAGGTAAACTTCTTGTGTACCATGTACTACACTTCCCTTGAATTTTAGGCAAAACAAAGGAGGGATGACTTCCTATGATAAGAGAGTCATTTGACGCACACCTTTGCAGTACAAAAGGTACACTTAATAATCATGAAATACACAGTACGACTCATGTCTTCATAAAAGTAGAGACTTGGTAACTTTTCTTTCCAATGTGACTGACAGAGGCACATCTCTAAAGGGCCTATCTCTTTCCTACATTGTGAAGGAAAGGATACGTGACACTATCAGCCTGACTGAATGACATACTGGAAGTGGAAGCTATAGCATGATGGGCAACTTCTAGATCAGAGAGAGAGAAAATACTTAAACTGGATTTGGGAAAATAATTATAGGAAAACACAAATGGGAGTTGCATACTTCTCAGCCTTTGCTGCTTGCTTATCTGTCTGAAGTAGCTAAATTCTGTGACTTACAGAGTGCTTAACACAATGGACCCTTGATCATGGTAGGGATCTCTTGGCATTACTAGAACACAAATAACAACACTGACCTGTTAAGACAGATGAGCTGAAATGTCAATATTGATGAATGGTCTCATAAGGCTAAATGAGCCTGCAGCTGAGATTTGATTTTTTTTTTTTTTTTTTTTTTTTTTTTTTTTTTTTTTTTTTT